TGGAATACGAGAAGCCACTCAGCAGGCTGCAGGACGGTCTCGTACAGCCAGAGGTTGGTCAAGAATCGACTAATCATCTCCTGACCGGCCGTGCTCATGTTGGAAGGGATGTACGTTAGGTCGAGCTTGCCGGCGGCGACTTGCTCACGAATCGCAACAGACGAGTTGATAGTCTTGACGGACTCGACAGAGCCCATGAAGCGAAAGCGCCAGTCGGGAGGCACGACGGAGATGAAGTGCAGCATCAATGGCGCAAGAATGGGGTTGGCGCGGTTCTCGACGAGAAGAGCGACTTTGGAATGGTTGTAGGGTGAATGTGCGTATTCAAGGGAGATTTGCGGTACGGTCATCGTCTTGAGAGTGGGCAACGATAGCCATATCGAGAAACCACTAACACGATGCGGTCAGTACTCGCCAACATTACGAGGAAACCAAGCTGGAGTTTTCTGGGTCATTGACTAACAGGAAGAGCACGAAAGCCCCAAAGACTCTCATGCGGCGGCTCGTCAAGGCCCAAACCGAGAGGAGCAGGGCCTTGGTGTGCTGCCAGACGTCTGACATGGTCTTCTCGCCGCTGACAGCAGGCCGCGGTAGCGAGGCCATGGTTAGGACGAGAAGGCCAAAAATTGGCAGAAAAGGCCTGGGTGAGTGTGAAGATGGAGACAGTCGTGGTAATAGTAATGAAAGGTGATCTCGGGGAGATTTCAGTCGCTGTGGCCACTCGAGCCTGGAGCGGCTTCGAGAGCGGGCGTACTCGCGAGTCGCAGATCCGTCCGGTCCACAGAGATTACGCAAGTGACGATGGCGCGGATGCGTCGGTAGCGTTGCAGGGGAATTAAGGCATGTCCGGTCCTGCGGCTGGTGACGAAGACGACAACAGCTGACTCTTGTCGAATAGACGAGCTACTCGATCGGTCGACTGGTCGTAGCCCGAATGATGAATTCGGTGGATGTGTTGAAGAGAAGAGTTGAAGTTAGGAAAGTGAACTGGAGGAGAGAGAGAACAAGAAAAGACAAGAGGGTGAAGGAAAGGGGTGATGGGGAACTTTGGGAAGGTACGATTTGCACATGCACCACTAGGTATCCTGAGGAAGGTACGGTGTGATGGCAGGCAGGCAGCTCCTCCCTCGACAGCGACTAAGACGCAACGAGGGACGGATGGAATTATCTGATGAAAAGACAGGACGCCCCTTGCCTTTGCCTTCAATTCCCAGGGCGAGGGCTGCTCCTCTTTGCACTTCCTTAGCCTGCTGCTTCCATGCTCATTCACGTCCCTCCACTCCTCCGGACCCTTCCCCCCCCCCTTTCCTTGGCAGGTGTCCACGCCAGCCCGGGCCGGACGGGGAAAAAAAAAAAAAAAAGAGACCAGCGCGAGCGAGAGAGATGTGGCAGCGGATTCCAATCAACAGGCCAGGCCCTTGGTCGTGGAAGTTTCAAGCAAAGGGAAGCCAATGAGGTGTTCTAGTGGGCTCCTATGGGCCAAGCGTCTCCAAAAGCAACATTGGAGCCATGGGCCCATGGATGATGGCCCCCCGTGGCCGCGTCGATGAATTGCGCAATGCAGCCAGCCACTGTTGCAGTGTCTAATTTGGGTCGAGTACCGTACTTGTACCTGCAAGTACCTTTTTCCTTCTCTCACCTCCACCATGCACGGGCACGTTCGATTCGATGGTCGGGTGCGATGGCGATGGCGATGGCGACTGGTAATCCTGGCAGGCAATCAGCGAGCCTGATCATCCAGTCTGTCTGTCTCCAGGCCACACCATCAGGCGCCCCGTCTTCCACGGCCTCCCCTGTACGGATACATCCCTCTTTTCTCCATCCCAAGAAGCAGTCTGGAGGGACGGACACGGAACGTCACGCCACCATCGTCCCTCCCTCCCATTTGACCTGCATGCTGTGTAGTGAGGACGATACTTGGATACGAAGCGCCACAGAAAGTCGTAGGTCAGTGTCAGCTTTCCCTCACGAGAATGAAGCGACAGTGAGCGGCTAAACTGTGCTGCGTACCCAAGAGGAAATCAAGACAGCCGGACACTTTCGTCCCACGGCGATACGGATACCCTGATTCAAGAACCGAGCTCGAGGGTATTTACAGCCTCATCCCAGCCAAGAGTTCCCCATCCCCAAACAAAGCGACCCCCAACCGAGGGGTACCATGCCCAGCTATTTCGTGCAGCGTAACCAACAATCACCACCCCGAGCCGGTCTCTTGGTATCGCCAGCCGTGACACCCATAATCCGGCTGCATTAAAGACCAGGGTTTGGACCCAAGGCGCCCAGTGGGACGGTAGTCGGTACGCCGTAGACCGTACCACGCAGGCAGGCTTTGGATCAGTGATCATTGAACAATAACTACCAATTCACCACCTCTTCCAAGTGAGCTCTCGTAAGGGGTAAGCCTCGCACCAAGTGGTGATGACCTTTTTTCGAGTTCAACCGCGCAATGTCGATTTAATCTCAAGTCTTCTTCGCCACGGAGATATAATGCAAGGGCGCACAAGGGAGACCGCGCAAGCTCCATGTCTCAAGTTTCGAAAGGCATCGACACGTCGACTGACTTCCACTTAAACTTTGCTGCGACGAAAGCATGTTGAAGGTTGGAACGGCGTACAGTATTCGTACGGATGCACCGTGACACAATGGTACTGGTGGCTGTCAGCTTAACGCGCCACCATCAACATGTTCCTCACCAAAGCTCACATGCACGACAGTCGGACAGAGACGAGTGACAGTCTGTGAGAGACTAGAGACGAGAGGTCGTGGATAAGCGAGCAACTGTGCTGCTTTCCGCTGCTTCGCCGCACGCATGCATGTACGGAGAAGGACGCCCTGTCAGCCTGGACGCAGTATTGTATTGCCGACAAACATGGAAGAAGCTTTCCCGAACATCCCAAGTCTGTAGCGGCACAGCCCAATGCAAGGCTCGGTGGATGGTCCCTGCTGAGCATCCTCAGGGCTTACTTGGACTTTGCGGCTTGCCTCGTCCAAGCAAGGAGCAAAGAGAATCAAATAGGCTTCGTTTTTCAAGGTTCAACTTTCAAATTCCACCTGACACAGTTGTCTTGTGCGGTCGCATTCTCGTTGTCGCACGCGAGGAACGCGACAGGCGGGGCGGGCGCAGATGAGTCTTGGTACAGAGTAGAGGCGACTCATTAAAGCAGAGATTCACTTTTTCTCGAGGAGAAGAAATGTCGCCCTCACTTCTGAGTGCTGACTACGGCGTTCCTTTTCCCAGGATTAGCGTGGAAATAATGCTGCGCAATCTGGTCGTCAACGCAGGGCTGGCCGACGGCACGTCCGTTCTTTGCAAGTAATCAAAGACTGACAGCGCGCTCGGAAATGATCTTGTCACTGACGGGCAGGCGTTTGTACACCATCTGGAGTTATCAGAGAGCCGTGCGCTACTCCGTCGAAGATGGAGGTTATGTGGTCGAGTAAGGATGGTTCCCAGCACTGCACGAGTTTGGGCGATAGGTGGTAGGATTGGCGAACGGGTGCAACACGAGATGAAGCTCTCCTCGATAGTAAGAGAGCCATTGCTGGGATGCAGTCGAGTTTTGATACAAGATGTTGGGTTGATGGCGGTAATGCACTTGGAACCTTGTCTTGTTCGAGACGGCATGGCATCTCGGCCGGAAGACGAGACCGAATGGCAGACTGCCGTCGCAGTGAGGAAAGGAAAGGAAAGGAACTGTCCAGTGTGTCTCCCAGATTGTGTGGCAGATGGTGGTGATGTGGCTTCCAGTGCAAATGGAAGGGAGGAACCCGGGCAATGTGGGGCTAGCGGGAGGAGCCCTTCCCTGCGGGCTGCGGGCTGCGGGCTGCGGGCTGCATGCCACCACGTCCCCGACGGCACCAAAAGAAGAAGGGAAGGAAATGGGAAAGTGGATACCTGTTGCTGTGTGCTGTGTAGGTACAAAGTAGAGCAAGATACATCTGAGTACCTGCCCGACACTTGCACCTTCCATCGTCTCCCTGCGCCCATGTGCTGGATGTTACAGGGTGTACTTGCGAGTGCCGTTCCAGCTCTGGGGCTACATACTCCGTAAGGTACAGAATGCAGCGCGACAAGGTAACTTCGACCTCGACTTCCAATTCCATACGCAGCAGTATGTAGTCAGGCCCCACTTCCTCCCACATCTTCCGCCAAGCGTCTCTCTCTCTCTCTATCTCTCTCTCACTCTTGGGCTCTCACTTTTGGCTGCAAGCTTCCAGTCCAGCCTCCAAGCGGGCGTGGTCGACCGTCTATCGATATTGGGATCGGTTGATTGAAGCCAGGTTTCCCCCCTCTTTCCCGGCTTCCATTCCAGGACCCTGCACCTAGTAGAACGAGTGGGATCTCGGTGACATTCGACCCTACCGTGCATACCTATTCGTACAGAACCAGCACTTACCCACTGCCACCAGTGAAGCGCCGTTCCGCAGCCTGCAGACGCGATTCGTCATCTAACAAACTTCGCCGTCCTCTCTACCTCTGGACTATCGAGCGGCCCGCGGAACCCCTTGTATTTCGTTTTTCGTTTTTCGTCTTTCCCTCGCAGCATCTCTCTCCCTTGGGACTACCGAAGACACTTGTCTCTTGCTGCTGCTGCTGCTGCTGCTGCTGCTTACTGCACTGCACCTCAACTCCAAGACCAATCTGACCGCACCGGCCGAGTCTCGAGTCCCTCAGTATTCCTCGCCAACGCCCTTGGAAAGCTGAATCACTACCAAGAGTTCCGCCTGTCCGCAACACGATACCAAGTCCATATTGGCATTCAGTCTCGGCGGTTTCAACACGTGGTCGACATGACGCGACTCTAACCAGCAACTTTCAGTCAAGCCAGAGAATTTCCGATTTTCCAGCTTCCGATTGCCTCGACCTCTTACAACCGATTCTACTTCCATCACTGCGATACAGTCTCTGACGCCGTCCCATTCTCTCGTTTGCGCCGTGCTCTTGCTGCGCCGTTCCTGGACGTTCACATTTCAGCGACATGGGTGCCACGAACGGTTCTTCCGGCGTCTTCGCCATCACCAAGACCCGACTTTTGCTAGTTGCGTCGCTGGCCATCACGTTCGTATTCCCCGTCGCAAACTTGCTCAAAGCATCGCCGCCGAATGATATGCTGACTACATTTTGCAGATGGTGGTTTGCTCATCTCCTGCCGAGCTACAAGCCTATGATCAAGGCCGAGTTCAAGTCAAGATTGGACGAGGCTCGCCAGAAGATGCCCAAGATCAAGGTTGACTGGAAACCCGACCTGACCAAGGACCCGAGATCCAACTACAATGCATCCAAGATAGCATTGATTATCGAGCCGCGCCCTATCCCGCATCTCGTACCCCAGCTACTGCACATGACCTCGGTCGTGCCTCCCGACTGGAGATTCCTATTCATCGGCTCCAACAAGAGCGTTGTCAGCGTCGCCCGGAGCTACGGCATCAAGCACCAGCAAGTCATTGGAAAACTCGACTTGATGGTCCTCCCTGAGCCCTGGCAAATCGACACCAAGGAGCACGTCTTTCGACTGTTGACTGATATTCGCTTTTACGAAGAGTTCCTCCCTGGCATCGAATGGATCCTCAAGTTCGAGTCCGATAGCATCCTCTGTTCCAACTCACCGACCAGCCTCAACGAGTGGCTCGAATGGAGTTGGGCTGGCGCATCCAGGTATGTCTCTCTCTCGGAGATATCCCCTTAAACCCTCCCTTGCTAATCTCATCCACAGGACCCCTGATGATCGCTTCTCCGGCAATGGCGGCCTTTCTCTCCGCCGAGTCTCGTCCATCAAGAGAGTTTTGCAATTCCAGGAAAGATACAACGACACTGAAGCCGAAGACGAATGGTACGGGAAGCGACTCTGGGTCATGCAGGGCGAAAAAGTAGCCCACGGCAGAAAGGGTGTTTTGGCAGTGGAAGACGTCTACATGGAGAAGCCCATGGGTTACCACGTTAAGGATGGCGGCCAGGGCATTTCTGACAAGGTGTGGAAGAATCCCAAGCAACGGAAGAAGATTTTCGACTACTGCCCCGAGCTCAGCTTGATCATGGATATGAAGTTGGAGCGCGAGCGTTGCGATGGCGACAACAAAGAAGGCAGCTTTGGCCCAACGGACGACGAGAAAGAAAAGGCTGTTGAAGAGGCCAAGAAGCAGCAAGAAGAGGAAGAACGCCGGAAAAAGGAAGGCGAAGAGAAGAAGCAGAAACAAGCAGAAGAGCGCAAAAAGGCTGAGCAGGGTTCGGAAGTCACCAAGTCAGATATCGATGAGCTTCTCAGCGAAGACGACATGCTCAAGCTCGACTACGGCGCTGGCGGCAGTGGCGCCTCAGGGTCCAGCTCAACAGGTTCCGATGATGCCGACGCAAAGGCAAAGGCGATGGCTGCTGCGGCGCAGGCAAAGGCTGCCGAGAAGGCTCAGAACGCCTAGGTCTTATGGTCAACCGATGAGAAGACTGGTGTGCACCACCAAAGCGTGTCCGGGTCTCGGCAACCCAAACTGACAATCAACACTCGGCTCTCGGCGTGCCGAGCCTCGTAGTTTGAGGACGTTGAGCATCTAGTTCAGTACGATAACAAACAACGCTGAGAAGAAGGCGTTCAAGGTGTTGTGGCGAAGAGCGAGTTGGAGGCAAGGTCCATGGCCAGATTGACGGATGGCAGCCCGTATCGTAAGGTTGTGGCGTTTGGTGATAACCGAGAATACCGCAAACAGCCATGCGGAGAGGACCTACTCGCCTTTGAAGCGACGTCACTTGTAAGAACAACGAATGGCCCGATAATGGATTTGATATACCAGTTCCGGAGAGGGAGGGGTGTGGCGTCGGGGCGTACTGGAGTTATGAACAGCCCAACCTTATCCAACAAAGTCGCAGCCGGAGTGTCGGCACGTCAGTCAGCGCAGATCAGGAAGCTGATGTGGAATGCTGTTGGGCAAAAGACAGCAATCGAATGATGTTTTCTTAGCAATACAAATCTGCTTGCAAGTGGACCATCACACGATCCGAGTAGTAGTGCCTCCACGATATGTTACACAACGCACCAGTGTCGATGACTACCTTACCCAGTCCCACGCCCATGGTTTACCTAGGCTCGGCTGACACGGCTGACACGGCTGGTTCCCGATTCTGGGGATTAACTTGGAAGCAAACTTTTGGGTTCAGATCGATCTAGCCGAGCGACGAGTCCTGCGGTGGGGATGTGCACGATTGACTTGATCTTCCTGCATGCTGCATCTGCAAGGCTTTGTTCGCTTGCGTGCGGCGCAGAGTTCAGTTGACGTTCAAAGTTTCTTCATCTACAGACAGCGATTGTCCATGAATGTCAAAGCTCGCAGGCTTGCTTGTGATACCAAGCTGCCGGATCGTCTGCGTCTGTTCTGACCTGAACTATGTGGCTTAGTACTTCACGTATTCCACGCTTCCATGCTTCCGTGCTCTGTATTACTAACAGCCACATCCTCTTGCTGCTATTGTATTAGGGGGGAGCTGTCAATGCCAAGACCACATGGCCTCGAGGTCAGACTGTCAGTGAAAGGAGCGATGGGCAACCACACACAATGGGACTTGAATAGATGGGCTAGATTCCAGGAGAAAACTCCACCAAAACCTGGCCAAGAAGTTTACCAAGATGGCCGTGTGTCAGGGCGGACGGGCTCACCTGCGGTGGTGCAGCAATGCCAAGGGTCTAGGTTTCCCCACGTTGCAGTGCATCTCACTCTCTACCTTTACTCCTCGGAGAAAAGCCAAGGAGTTTACGAGCGTAGGCTGTATCTAAGCTCTTCGCAGAGACCGAAAAAAGAGTTACTACGCTAGGAGGAGAAAGAAGAGTAAGAGGGTGGTGAGTGAGAGAGAGGCTCAGCATGGAGCAATGAAAGATGGGATCGGCCGGGAACCCGTCTTGCCCGTCCGCATCCGTCCAATTTTTCTATTTTCTTCTCTCCGATCTTGAGAGAAGCGAAACCCAGATTTCTTGGCCAGTTCGTCCGAAGACGCTACTGCCAGGCACCCAGCCCGTCTTCGACTAAAGCGCCGGCCTAGCATGCCCTTCCCACACAGCCTGTGGACGTTCTCGACCCTGAACTTATGGATATGGAATGAGGGATTGGAACGGGTACTGTCTTACAATCTTTATCCGTACATACATACAAACACCACATCACGCACCAACAAGCACACATGAGATCGATTCTCTGGGCGCGAAAAAGAAAAAAAAAGCGCCACCCCGGCTTTCCCAGCAGCGGCAGGGCTTGTGTCTCTGTTCTTATCCGTACCGGTCCTGACTTTCGTTCTTTTTGCCCGGCAAGATCTGGGTTAGGTTGTTGGTCCCCTCCTCCTCCTCGGATCTGTGGTCCAACGATGTTTGCCCGCAGCGTGGCATTCTTTCCGTGATCCATCACATACACACTCGAAAGCCCCCCCATGGATGAGCAGGTGTAGGTATTCCCGTCGGTGCGTCTCCGTCAAGCCACTTGGCGTTGCTACGGCGTCCCAAATCTGCTCGACGGTCCGTCAAAGTCGCAACCGGTGGCTTGTTCCGCCTACTAGCCCCGCCATGACCGCGTTGCTCTCGTGGTGTGTGTGGTGGTGTAAGGTCTCGCCTTTGCCTTTCCGCTCTTCTCGCCTCTCTCTCTCTCTCTCTCTCGTCTATCCGTACCTACGTCGGTTACGATCATGACCTCTATCCGTCGTCCCTCTTGTCGGGTTTTTCGCTGTCTTCGGCATGGTCTCACGCTAACAAGCTTGCCCGTCGAATCTTTTTTATCGGCCGCGAACTGGGGTGGTACACAATCCATCTTGGCGCCAGATGGACCCCTTCTGGATAGGCAAGGAAAAAAATGTGTGGGACGATTTGCGGAGGGAATCGAGGAACAAGCGCGCGTCATTGTCGTTCTCTCTCTGTGTCCCATTCCATTGAATCCATGATGTGGTTCTCTTTCTACCCGTCCCGGACGGCGCGAGCTTTGGGGTCCCTTTCGACGCCACGCTAACTTTCCCGTACCCGGCAGACCTGCTCCCAAGCTAGTCCTCGCGATCCTCCAATTTCCATTGTGGTATTGCTCGGTCCTCCCAGTCGGATGGGGGAGGGGTGGTGTGTAGGGGGCCTGTAAGTGCGTGTGTCTTTTTGCGGCCATCGCCAAATCTGGCTATGGGAGAAGTCTCTCATGGAGAATGTCACTGTCTGCCGTTTTCTACTGCGACATCAACATGAACGCCTCCGCCCCCCCCCCCCCCCCCCCCCCCCGGTCTTCGATCTTCCTTGTATATAACACTGGGGACCGCACGGGTTCTTCATGATGTTACTCCCTCTCGGTATCTCTCTATCAAGGTGCTTCAGTATCCTAATAAAGAAAGCCCAAGAGCACTCTTTTCATCTCTTAGGTTGTTTTCTTCTCGAGTTTTTGTTTCCTTGAAGACAATCTTTTTGAGTAGTCGTCTACGACTTACATCAACCTAATCACCGGTTTATTAGTAATATCTATTTTTTCCCCATTTTCCTCAGTATCAACAGAGTAGTTCATCATGCTTTGGACACCTGTTGTACTAGCCACCCTTGCAGGGCTACAAGCAGCTCATGCTCACGACGAGGATGAAGTCCCTCACCCGAATATGGTCTTGCCCCGTCTTCGCGATGTAGACGAGCTGAGGCAGAGACGAAATGCCTTCGAGCCCTGGAACCCGCCGACGGTAGCCAACAAGCCACGCGCGGACCGCGTGAAACTCAGTCCTCGCCAGACGTCATCAATTCCGTTGGGAGATAACTCGCAATGTGGAGGAACGTATGGCAGATGTGCCGATGGGTACTGCTGCTCAGCTTCAGGGTATGTTGGATGATGCTCGACCTGCCAACGGTTGTCGACTAACAGTGCAAACAGATGGTGTGGTCAGAGTGAGCAATATTGCGCGTCTCCTGATTGCCAGATCAACTATGGTCCTGCCTGCGACGGCAATGAGAAGCCCAATGGCCCGGATACTTCAGACTACGCGAGACCAAAGAACGGTAACATCCCCTATGGTGGCGTTGGTATCTATGACTGCGTCAACCAGGGTGATGTTGCCATCACGTACGATGACGGTCCTTACATCTACACTGCTGCCATGCTGGATGCCTTCAAGTCTCACGGTGCCGTCGCTACCTGGTTCATCACGGGCAACAATATCGGCAAGGGTATGATCAACGTCAACTACCGCGATGTCATCACAGTAAGCTTCTCAGCCATACACTTTTGAGACTGCCAATTCTGACCTCATCCAGCGAATGATTGCCGATGGCCACCAGGTTGCCAGCCACACATGGTCACACGAGAACTTGGATCAGATGACGCTCGCCCAGCGCAAGAACCAGATGGTCTACAACGAGATCGCCTTCATGGACATTCTCGGTTTCTTCCCCACCTACATGCGTCCGCCTTACTCCATCTGCGGAGCCGAGTGCCAGGGACAGATGGCCGACCTGGGCTATCACATCACCTACTTCGATCTCGACACCCAGGGCTACCTGCACACCACCGCCGACCAGATTGGATTCAGCGTGAACCTCTGGGACCAAGCCATGCTGGCTCGCACCCCTTGCAACGGCAGCTACCTGCACATTGAGCACGACATCCACCAGTATATCGCCACGACCCTGACGAACCACATCCTCGACTCCGTCGTCGCCAACGGCTGGAACGCCGTCACCGTCGGTACCTGCCTCGGCGACCCCCCAGAGAACTGGTACCGCGGCGCCGCCCCGGCTTACAACTTCAAGATCACCCCCGTCAGCTCAAAGGTCTGCTCCAGCACCTCCAGCTCCTCGTCCAGCTCGACCAAGACGTCCTCGTCTACCCGCACCTCGTCCGCGACCTCCACCTCCACCGCCGTCTCGACCAACGGCCAGTGCGGTTCCACCGTCGGCTTCACCTGCCAGGGCTCGTCCTACGGAAACTGCTGCTCCGGCGCCGGATGGTGTGGTTCCACCTCCGTCTACTGCGGCACGAGCTGCCAGTCCAAGTACGGCACTTGCGGAAGCTCCTCGTCCAACACTACTTCCAGCAGCGGCACCAGTAGCGGCACCAGCAGCGGCACCAGCAGCGGCACCAGCAGCGGCACCAGCAGCGGCACCAGCAGCGGCACCAGCAGCGGCACCTCCTCAGGTAGGACCTCTTCCTCCTCGTCGTCCACCCACAGCGGCACCAGCAGCAGCAGCTCCTCTCGCACCGGCACCTCGAGCTCCAGCTCCCGCACCGGTACCAGCAGCAGCAGCAGCAGCAGCAGCTCATCCAGCACCGGCACCTCCAGCTCCGGCTCCACAACCCGCACCGGCTCTTCTTCATCATCGTCGTCGTCGTCTAACACTCGCTCCTCCTCAGCCTCCGCCAGCGGCAGCGCCACGTCCTCCGCCTCCGCCGTACTCCCCAGCACCTCCCTCATCTCCACCGACGGCTCCTGCGGCGGCGCCGCCGGCAAGTCCTGCACGGGAAGCACTTTCGGCACCTGCTGCTCCCCCTACAACTACTGCGGCAACACCACCGCCCACTGCGACACGGGCTGCCAGTCCGGCTTCGGCAAGTGTTCCGGCACGGGCGTCAACGTCGCCGTCTCGCTCAACGGAAACTGCGGCTCTACGAATGGCGGAGCGACGTGCACCGGCTCGACGTTTGGAAACTGCTGTTCCGCGTACGGATATTGCGGTAGCACGTCTGCTTTCTGCGGCACGGGCTGCCAGTCTGTTTACGGTACCTGTGGTGAGTAACTTTACATCGAGGTTTATCCTGCTTTTCATCGCAGGCCTCAACTTTGGCTTATATGACCTTGCTCATACGAATTGGTTTTGGCTAATTAGGTTAATCTACAGATACTTCTTCCGGGTCCGGTACGACTGCCGCATCATCAACAGCCACCTCAGCCGCGGCATCCCCCGTCAAAACGGTCAGCACCATCGGCGCGGCCTGCGGTTCGTCCGCCAACACAAAGTGCGGCGACGGCTTCTGCTGTACGGCGCTCAACGCCTGCGCCAGCAGTAAGATTCTGTTCGTCAACAATCCGGCTTGTTCTACCTCGTTGGGCTGCCAGACGAGTTGGAGTAGTACTTGTTCTTAAAACGACATTTTGTAATGCATAATACAATGATGGGGGGGGAGAGAAAAAGCGAGAGCGGGTTTGTTCAAAAGGATGGGGGGAGAGATTTAAAGTTGCAATTACTTGTTTTCGGGTTTCTGACTTTTGTTTTAAATATGGTTACTCATTTTGTTCTTTTTTCCATCAGAGAGGCGTTGAGGATTCCTGGGGACTTTACACCATCGATATTGATAGAGCGATCGATGCTACTCACCTTGAGGTACTTACTACCTACCATCACCTATTACAACAATCTTAATAGAATGGTGTATTGACCATCACTTAAGCTTCCATTTGCTTTGATACAAGATGTCGTTTTACTCTTGTCCTTTGGGTTAACTTGTTTTGATATTGTTCCTCCTTGTCTTCAATGTTGTACATCGCTTGGGTCCTCAGATTTGATTCATGGTTTTTCATTATTCTCAATGCGTATCTTCGTTGCTCTTGCTCTCGTGAGCCCAAACTCAATGGTGTCATCTTGAGTGTTCATCCTTGCTCATTTTCCTCTGAGATCCTTGGGCATTTCCTGATGGGTATCTAGGTTACAAACAAGCCAAAGCAAAAGAAGCCAAAGCCTAGAGGGGGGATATATCAAAGGGTTCCGTAACCCCAAACCTCTGGTAACTCCTGAAAACAAGCCCTTCCTTGCCCGTATCTCATTATCGTTCCTCGTGGATGCAATTAGTATGAGAAATGCGGTAGGTCAGCAAAGAAGTAGCAACCAACGTCTCGGTTCACGAGTATAGCAAATCCCTCAACCCGATTCCTCCCTGTAGCTCATGTAGTACCTTTGGAAAGCAGTATGACTACTCCAACTGCCGCATAAACTCCCGATACTCCCGATACTGCTGAAACTCCCCCTTCAGCATCTGGACCTGCTGGACCTGAAAGTCCGCAGCCTGCTGAAGCTGCGCCACTCTATCCATAACATCTCCAATATCCTTGACCGCACCGGGAATCTCAGGTCCCTGGCCAGGGCGGGCACCAAGCATAACGCCCTGCGCGTCCCTAGCAACCCCAGCAATCTTGGAGACAAGCGACTGGATACGCTCAACGCGCTTGTTCCCAGCATCGACACACTCGTCGTAGCGCTCCTTCTCGAGACGGGAAGCCTCGAACATGGCCTGCATCGCCTCGCCGTTGTGCTTCTGCGCGCGGGCCTCGTAGTCGTGGGCCTTCATGACGAAGTTGCAAAGAGCGTCGCCGTCGGCGGCGGTGACGTAGGCGCCGCGGGGCCCGTTGGTGATGAGGGGCAGAGGCTTGACCATGGCGGCGTGTTCGTTGCGGAGGGCGTTGGCATGTTTGATCTTGTCTTCAGCCTCGGTGTGCTTTTGGGCGATGCGGGTGACGAGGCGGGCGGTTCTCGTGGCGGAGGCTTGCTCGGCTGCGATCCAGGGATTGTCGACCTCGTTGCTGGGGATGTCGGCGGTAGGGATAGAAGCATCAGCGGAGGCTTGAAGAGCAGAGTCCTGAGAAGCGCTCTCATTGACATCGGAGTCCTGGACGACAACCGAGGGCGCGGGAATGGAGCCGGCAATGGGAGCGTCGATCGGCAGACTGGCAGTGGGGGGAGCACTGTAGATGGTCATGGGAGCCTCAGGGGCGGCGTTAGACCAGGCGACGGGGCCGTTGTCGTTGTAGGAGGAGCCACCAGACGGGTCGACAGGCAGGGAGTCCCCCAGGCTGTCGGAGAAGCCAAAAGAGCCGCCAGGGTTGTAGCCAGCCGAGTGGTTGACAATCAGGGGGTCCCCCAGGCTTCTAGGGAAGCCAGAAGAGCCGCCAGGGTTATAGCCAGCCGAGGCAATGCCATAGTCGTTGCCAAGGTTGTCGTTGCCGTAGTCGTCGTTGGAAAGGAAGGTGGATGGCTCGCGAGCAGAGCTGAACGGGTTGTGATAGTCCGCAAGAGGGAATCTGGCTAGGTTGTTGGAGAAAGAGCCGTTGCCGAGATGCTCGTCGCCCTCTTTCATACCCGGCATAGGCGCCACGGGTCCTCTGGCTGGGTTATTGAAGAGAGAACCATTGTCGAGGCGGTGCTCCTCGTCCACTTTCATACCCGGGATGATGTCGGCGAAGATGTCGGGCGAGGATTGGCGTTCGCGAAGAAGGGGAAGGCACAGAGGTCTGTCAATGGACGGGCTTCTGGGGGCTTCAGGCATGAGAGGGATGATGGGGCGCAAGTCCTTGGGGACCTCTTCTGCCTTGGCGAGGAAGTTGAGACGGGGAGTGTCCTTGTTCTCGAAGAAGGGGATCGGCGTGGATGCCTCCTGGGCCAAGTGACCTCTCTTGGACGATGGGCCAGCCTCCATATCCTCAACGGCAGAGGCTGAGCGCTTGAGGTCGGGGTGACTGACAACGATGGCCTCTGGGTTCCAAGGAGTGCCGTCAACGTTGGGGACATAATTGCCAGCGAGGTCTCCCGAGAGGATTTTCTTGTTGTGATGATTGATGAGGCCCTGGATAGTCCAGTCATTCAAGTGGTGAGCCACATCGGCATTCTTGGCATAGAACTCCTTCTGGAATTCAAGGGCTTGACCCTCGAGGGCGAGCGAATCTGTGGCGAGACAGAGTGCAATGACGAAGTGGGAGGGAGGCTCAACGTTGGAGACATATTCGGCGTTGACCTTCCAATAGAGAGTGCAGTTGACAGGGTCGGGCGTGTCAATCAAGAGATTGATTGTCTTGATGAGTGTGGCGCGGTAAGTATCCGAGACGGTCGGTGGGATACGTTTGATCATCTTCCTCTTGAAGGCGACGATGTCGCTATACTTGTTCTCTTCAGAAAAGCGATCCATTGTGACTGCTGATATTGGACTTGTGAAGAAGGGAGTGCGTCTGTTCTGAAAAATTGAGCAAGGTTGTGATGGACGATCACCCAAGCTAGGTGACGCCGTTGTAAGCCTGACGTGAATTAGATGCGCACGTCTTCCGAGTTTTTTGTGTTGTATGAGGGAGGATATACCTGAATGAGAGGCCAAGAAGTAAAGCCAGTGGCCTTTTTTGACGATGTTGCTAGGTGCGCAATGAGGTGAGCGGTGGGTGATTGTGAAGAAGTATTCGTCGACCGCTTTGAGAAAAGGATGTCGAGGGGAAGAAAGAGGTTGCTTGAGGGACAACAAGACAACGAGGTGGGTGGAGAGTCGAACCTGCCGTGAGTCCGTCAAACTTTCCTAGGGAAGGGCTGATGAGCAGAGTAAGGCTGGTGAACGCACGCGGTGAGAGGTTGGATTTTCCGAGAAAGCAATAAACAATGGCCGATTTTTTTTTTTGGGGGCGGGGAGTGAAGTCGGAATACACATGAATAGTGTTGATGGGGGCCCACCTCACGTGTTGGGGTGGGAAGTGAGGTTGTTGATGGATGTGAATAGGCAGGCGCGAGATGTGAGGTGAAGTGAGGATGGGGCAAGGTGAAAGGGGGTAAGTTCAAAAAGAGGTTTTTCTTCCACCTCACAAGTCGCTTGAAGCAAAATCCGATGGCCATCTTCCTTCTCCCTCTTTGACCAGTTTGCTGACCTGCCCCTTTTCTTCCTGTGTTTTGCAGCCTTGGAATCTTTCTAGATTAGGTACATCTTATATACCATGAGCTGAAGTTTATTGTTGCTCATGCCTGAGTATATTGGGTAGTAGAGAAAATAATAAATATTGGGTAGTAGTTTGGGAGATGATAGTTTCCCCCTTTCTACTCCTGTCTGTAATCACTCCTGGAGCATCAAGTGTACATTCTGGGCAGGATCTTTCATCTCGCCTTGGAGTGAAAGGTGGGTTCTAGACAGACAACCAGCTCTCCCAGCCGCGAGGGGCATTGTGACTCGCTCGAAGAGAACGACGCATGGCATCCCATGGAGCGGTGATACCTCTCTGCCAATGAAGCCAAGGCTTCAGCGAAGTCATTGGGACCAAAGTTGCCTCATCTGCCATCTGCCATACTATGGATTGAATGCCAGAGCGTGTGTCTACGTCGGTGAAGTCTCCCGAGGTATTACTCCTTCGTTTTTCAATACATGGTATGGTCAGATGACTTTTTGTTGTTGCGATCACAAGATTGCTAAAAGTTAAATACTGTATACTAAGAGCAAGAGAGGAAAACACGCATCCACGCTCACTGGGTAACTTACTTGAGGCATCCTCTGCAATCTGTAAAAAATGGCCTCTCGGAAAGTCACATCACAGTATCCCATTCCTTTGCCACGGAGGTCATTCGGAGGCTGCGATTCAGCGCTAAATCATCAACATCATCCAACTCGCTAGAGATCAGAAGGCAATTATAAGAAGACACGACGCTGACCTGATGCCGTTGTACCTAGCGGCGTTAGATACCGCATTACAAGAAATGAGTGATTCCGTCGAAAGAAGCCCGCTGCTGAACAGATGGACAGAGGAGGAAGATGCTTAACCATTTCAAAGTCATTAAATTGATGACTTTACAAAGTCGCCTCTAGATACAAAGATGGCAAGAGAGAAGATGGGTAGGACTCATCATTGAGTAGCGATTTGAACTGAGTAAGATCAGCACCGAGGCAAGGAAGCACGATATAAGAGCGGCTTCAAAGTAAGAAAACCAAGAAAAATGGCAAAGAGGACAATTCCGTTCCGGCGAGAGCTTCAAACCCCTATTTCTTAATACCGACAGAGGCTAGATGGACAGAAGCAAACGCCAGGAACGTAGGGAAGAATTTCATTCATCTTCCACATCGCCCATCTCATCCAATTCGCATCAAGCTCGACACTCTTCAAAATATCTCAATTGTAGACCTACGGCCAAATTTCGCTCCAGAGCCATGGGCAGTCAGTCGCAGTAACGAAGTAAAAGCCTTCCGGGCAGCAACCCCAAGTCGGGACACCCCGGCCACGCGCATTCCAAGGAACGGGGGGTCTCGGTCGGCGGACCAAGCCGGGAAGCAGTGGAGACTTCGGCAGGTACCGTAGAGAAAGTGGACCATGGGGGCCATCCTTCCCGAGAACGAGAGGGGGAAAATTGGGAGACGATGGACGGGGGAGGGGTTGATGTGAGGTCATCCAGCTTCAAGCCTGCCGTACCGGTAACAGCGCCGGTTGTTGATGTTGGGTGACGTGACACGGGTGCGGTGCGGGGTAAATCGGGCCACGAGGAAGACTCCAGTTCTTGCCCGATCGTACCTGGTTGAAGGGTTCAAGGGTGGGGTTTTTTTCTTTCCCTTTCTCTTCCATACCTTACCTGTGGGTTGTCGGTTCCCCCGCCGCAGTTCCGGGCCTTGCCGGCATTGGGTCGCCTTGCAGGTCGTCCAGTTGGTGGATCCCAGGTGCCGAGACGCTGCGATTTTCGGAGAAAATGCAGGTGTAAGCTAAGGCAGCCAGCCCCGTAGCTTATCGGGGGTAGGTGTAGGTGGAAGAGGAGGAGGCCTGGATATACAAACACAGCAAGGTAAGGTATTGGTGGTGAGGGAGCTTTGGAGGTGCGGGTTGGGTGTCAAAGGTGTGCCCACCTATCATCCTTCTTCCCCCTTCCCTCCCCTTGCCTTCACACTCCCCCTCCATTGTCCAAAAAAGCAAAAAAAATCATGTACAAGAATTGGGTAAAAGAAAAAGGGACGGGCCAGAATCAGGCAGTTTTGAACCAGTACATGGCGAGGGACGTGCCCCAGTCAGGACGATGTACCTCTACATCGGACCCCTCGAGAGGGAAAAGGAAGAAGCTGGGAGAAAACCAAAAGTCAGTCGACTAAGACGACCGGGTCCGTGGTTCTCATCCGAGCAAAGGGGGATTGTGGGAGTAATTGGGGGGGGAAAGAGAGAGAGAAGAAGCAAAAAGAAGACGAGAAATAGCAAGGAAAGCATCAGTGCAAATTTCTCACCACACCCTCCCCTATCTTCCTTCACTCCCCTCTTGTTTCTGCATCTACCTAGCCTTGATAGCTGGCTCGCAACCGTCCCAGGCATGAGAGGAGGGTGCAGAGAGCAACATCATCATGGCTAGGGCAATGGTCTACCGGTGGTCCAACACGACCCTCCCCACCAAGAGGTACCTAGGCTAAAACTTGACGCAATCACTTTGCCTTGACGGCCCGACGAGGGCTGCAACGTCGAATCCCGCATCGCGCCGGGTCCGTCTATGCAGCTGCGATGTTCTGCCGTTGTACAGGGGGTTATGTAAGTAGGTATTGCTGGACACATCGTGTTCTAGGTCCAACCCGGGTTCTGTCTCGTGTTCATCGCTTTCGTCACTGTTTTCTCGCAGGGCCACCTCGGTCTCGCAGATTCCTCACTTGGCCCAGGCGCCATCGTGAACAGCCTCTCCCAATCGCATCTTGCCAAAGCGGCCGGCTGGTTCCTGGCTGCTTCACCCCTCGTTCCCTGGATGGGTTAAAGGAGTGAACTGCCGGTTAATGCTATTTCGTCCGTCCGACAACTAAGAGAGAAGGCGACAAGGCCAAGGAAAGCAAATAAAAGCAAATACCCAGGAATAGAAGCGCAGGCAGGCCGCAGGAGGGAGATACTGAGGTCCAAAAACCTCAATTAATTGCAAATCAGTCTTTGAACAGAGTTATGATGTCGGCGGCTGACGGCGGGCTCAGCTTTCCCTAAAGTCCGTCCGTTCGTCTGGCTTCAAGCTTGCGAGCGCGCAAGGAACAATACGAACGAGGCGTGTGTGCAGCACGGCACGGTGCAGCACTTGGACGAGCCAAGGAAGCAAGTCAAGCCTGGAAAGCTAGGACCGCCTCGATGATGGGCAGAAAAAAGCTTCCAGAACTGCCGTCCAAGTGATGATGGAAGACGGTTCCGTGTGGGAGGGAATGGGGAGAGGACAGCCACATAAAGTTTGACCTGAGAGATAGAGAGGGACGGAGAGAGGGGGAAGGGGATCGTGGGCACAAAACAGAGTTGGCAGGAAACGAACACATGCGTGACATGGGAAACATGTTTAAGAAAAAGAAAAAAATAGATGAAAATGTCAACGTCGCCGGGGACGCAAGAAGATGCAGGGGAGATGCTCGGGGATGTACCACTTTGTAAACCCGTCGTCGGGGAAGATGTCTGCTCGTCTGCTCTGTCTTTCTCAGCTCAAGCTGTGATGCCAATTTAGGTTCCATTGTGCGCTCGGAGGAGGGGGGCCACTAGTACTTTGGTGTTTGCCTGTACATGGCATTTTTGCCCAGAAAAGGAGAAGACACCAAGATGCAGCTGAGAAGCCCTGAGATACATGGTCTCCCGATTCAGCGAGACACTTGTGCATCGAGGGGGGGCTCGATGCGGCAGACCAAACCATCTTGGGAGACCGATGCCGTGGGCTGAGGCTAGCGGGCTGCAAGGTGCAAGAAACCCCGAGAGAAAGCATGCATCTCGCGCATCATTCATCACTCACATACGCAGCTTCTGCGGCTGGGGAACCGCCCGGTGTGGGGTGTCGCGTTGTCGTGATGCCGTATGTAGGTATGTGAAAGATGCAGGTCAGCGTCAGCATCGGCATCAGCAAAACATCAGCATCATCGACACACACACACACAAAAGTAAGTAAGTACTGCCCGCCTGCATTACCTAAAGTACCGTACGTACATGACGGGGACGCAAGGCAGGTGTCGTTGTCAAACGTGGAAGCCGTGAAGGCCCAAGGACGGAAAGAACGGGGACGTGGGACGTGGGACGTGGGACGTGACCCACGTGAAGTGGGGGCCAAAAACCCCCAAGCTGGGAAGGAACTTGGGAAAGTGCCAATGGGAAAGTTGGAAAGGGGACCCCAAAGGAGAAGTCGTGCTTGCCTTTTGCTGTGCCGCTGCCCGCGTCCGCCCGCCGTTTCCCCGTAACCCGTAACCCGTCTTCGCAACCACCTGTGTACCCCCCTCCCTCTTTCCGTCCGTTTGTTCAGACCCTGAACCGTGTCCGAGCTACTACCAACCATCACCACCACCACCATCGCCGCCAGCCCGAGAGTCGGCTCACCTTGACTCGGTACGTGCCTCGGCCTCGGTGAGCTCATTGCCTGATTGGGCAACAAGCTTCTTTGCCTTTTCGTCTACCCGTCCACCGTCCACCCGTCTCTTCATTTTCCCTTTTTCCTTTCTTCAAGCGCACCAACGAGAAGAATGCAGAAATGCTTCCATCGATTGCGAAGATGTTGCAGTACCTTAGCGTCCATTTTCGAGTTCACCAAACGGCCCCAGCGTTGATCTTTGAAGCCCAAAAGGAGAAAAAAAAGTAAGACTAAGAAGGAGGGGGGAGTGAGTGGGGGTGGCGGGGTGGGGAAGTTCAAGTTCAAGAACACACACAGCCTAAAAGTCCAAAAGTCGGTCTTGGCTGAACCAGACTTTGACCCAAAGAAAAAGAAAAAAAGCATTTGTTTCTCTTGTAATATTCTGCTCAAATACACCTATCAAACAGAAAAAACATCGTCGGCTCGCGCGATAAATCCCACGAGAAGGGGGGAGGGGGGCCCTTCTGCGTTGGCGCGGACCGAGATTGTCTACCTTACCTACACTCTTTCGCTGCTGCTCCCGGGGAAAAAGGGGGTTGCGTGACGTGGCGAGACGACTCTGCCAACGGAACTTGCTTCTTTCTGCTCTCTCGCTCTCTCTCTCAAGTTTCTTCTTCTACATGTCTGTCCTGTCCACCTACTTGGGTATCTACATGTATCCACCAAGGTGCGCGCGTGAGACACTTTTCGTCCTGTCAAAACGATTAGCACATCAGAAAAGTGACGACGACGGCGATGGCGTGGGTTCGTGGCTATGGGCGCGGCGCCCTTAACCCACACCTCCCAACTAACAAAATCGCGCGCCATTCGTGTGGGATGGAATGATTGGCATGGAAAGGATGATGGGATCTGACCCAAAACCGGGTGCAATCATAAGCAAAGGAGAGTGGCAGAAAAAGTCCATGTACGAAATGGATTGGGATGACTCGCGTTGTGGCATAAGGTAAGCTGACTTTTCTTTTGCCCGGGCACCCGGGCTGCTGCCAACCATCCCCCCGTCCTCTTGATCGTCTTGTGGCTTTTCGCAAATCATCCAGTAAACTCTTGGGATCCTTTCTTCTTTCCCCTGACGGTCAAGCTATCTTGGTTGTGCTGGTTGGTAGCTAGCTACCTACGCACACCTTTTCTTTCGCCTCACTTCAAGTTTCTCTTGGGACCACCCCCACCCCCACCCCCACCTCCACACCCCCCTTCCCTATCCCCCACGCCCAAGACTTTCTTCTCGTCATCAGGTTCTTACTAAAACCGAATATGTTTATCAGATTCACAGTGGGGTTTGTTTTGAATCTTGCCAAGCAGATGATAACACACGATTTGATCATCTATTGTTTTGGAAATCTATAGAGACACCAAAAAGAGTCCGGCGTAAATAGATCTCATAATCATATACAAGCCCGGGCTCAAACACACGACGCCCATCACCGGGCCCGGCGTCTATGAGTAACACACATGAGCAACAAGAAAAAGAAAAAAAAAGAAAAAGCAAAACAGAGTCGGCTGCAATAGTGAGCAGCTGGATGCTCTATCAAACACGTCCGCTTTGAAATCATCTTGACAACAAGTCCAGAGTCCCAATTCGCCCCCCATTCACGCCATAAAACTTGAATGCAAAAAAACAACAACCAAAGTGCAAAACATAAAATCCAACGCTGTGGAAAAGTTGATTTTGGTCGGACCAGACCCCCCCTCGGGAGAGGCAAAGGTGCTTCCTTTCTGTTGTAACGATGACTTGACTCTTCTTGACACAACCACTTCTCTCTCTTCCTTCTTTCTCTTATTCCATGCAGCCAACTCCCATGTTACAGCCCATAAGAAATGTCTGCGTCGGTCGCCCAACTATGCGATTCTCTGAGAATAACCCCCCCCAAAAAAAAAATACCCAAATCAAATAGTCCCTTTTGAAACCACCATCTCCCTCCTATTATAATCTGTATCCGTATAGAGCGAACGAGTTCGAACAGTTGAAACGAAGTGGGTATAAACTAGGTAGCGAGTGTTGATGTAGAGAAATGCGTCGGTCGGAATTCCAAAGGCCTAAAGAGATAAACACTTTTCTGTCGTACGTTGTTATAATTCTGTTGTTCTACCGCGGGCCACCTTCATGGACATGATGCCCGTGGTGACTGGGCGGTGGCGGACCAGCTGATCTGCTCGCGAATCCTGTCTCGTGAGGAACACGCGTGTAGCTGGGATACAGGGGACCACCGGCAGACACGCCTGGGCCCGGTTCCTGGCCAGGATAAGGACCTTCCATGCCCCGAAGAGGCGGTAGTCGCTCACCACCTGGCGCCGTAGACGGGGGTCTCTGAGGCATCATGCCATACGCTGGAGCCTGCATGGGCGGCAGATTTCCAGCTTGAGGGATCGGAGTGCCATACGAAGGCATCGAGAACTCTGGAGGCGGGGCCGAGTCGGTCCTACGCCTTCGCGTCGGTCGTTCCACCGAAGACGCCTCGCTCGATGCGTAGCCCTGAGACTGATGGGGAAGCATCGGAGCTTGCGCCATGGGGCTGGTCTCCGCCATAGATCCACCGCTTCTCGACGACGTTGGGCTCGGAGGTCCGTTCGCCATGTCGCTGAGAGGCGTTCGTAGGACCACATCGCGAAGACGATTTCGCTCGTCCCGGTAAAAGTCCCTCTCCCGAGTCAGCTCCCGTACTCTCGTCTCCAGGTCCCGTCCCCGCTGCTCCAACTTTTGCAGACTGGCCGTCTGTTCCTGGTCTCTCTCTTTCTTCCTTTGCCTGAAGCGTGCCGAAGCCCCGGCATTTCGTTGTCGTTTCTCATCAGCCTGTTTCGACGCCTGATGTACGTCCACAGGTATGAGAATGCCTCCTTCGTCTCCCGGTAGCCTGACCACCATTCCGCCCTCCGCCTTTGTCACATCTGACCGCAGGCTTTGATATAGAGACGTTCCGGCACCAGGTGTGGACCAAACAGGGACTCCTGGTGACTGTGGCGGAACATAGCTCTGGCCGGGAGGTAGCATTGGTTGACCATGATACTCTGTTGGTCTACCATGAGGATCTCGTGCCATGGGAGGCAGTTGGGGCCGGTCGGGGTTGCCGGGCTGCATATGCCCAACCATGGGTTGGGACATGGACCGCGGGGGCGTTGTGAGCGGCCCCATTCCTGCCGAAGGAGGGCCTAGGGAAGGTGGTCCAGAGAAGGGCAGACCGGATGCTGAACGAAGGGGTTCCTGAGGACCCTCCTCGCCAGGATAAGGGCGCTTCATTCGCGGGGCGTTGGGCGGTAAAAAGGGAGTTTGTTGTGGCTCGGGGCCTCGCATACTCGTCTGGCTCACACTGGCTGCGCGTACCTCTCGAGGGCTGAGAATCTGTCTCGGAGCACCCATGGGAGGAAAGGGAAACCCGCTTTTGGGTGAGTGTTCTGATGGTGTATGGCCCAATGGCGTTGTCGCCGGGTGCCCAGCTGGTGTAGCGGGCTGAGAACTGGGATATCCGCGACCTTGGAATGCAAACTGACGATCACTGGACGTGGTGTATTGCCTCGGAGGCATGCCATACGGCGAGGTTTGACTGTCAGTTGGCCGGGGCTGTGATGACTCGCCATTGGAGATTTCCTGTTGCGCTCCAGATGGGTTGATCAACCCTCTGATACCCAGTGACCGTGGAGCATGGGAGTGTCTCTCGCCGGCAGCTGATGGGGTTGTGACAACATCTTGGAACGCTTGACTGTCTCGAGGAAGCGGACTCTGCTGGGAAGTAAAGGGAGCTCGAGGTGGTGATTGCGTCGATGCCTGCGTCGTAGAGTGAGGTGCAGGTCCCCTCTGTGACATCGAGACCTGTTCCCCTACACTCTCCCGGCCGTTGTGGCCCGAACATTGACCGTTCTGGCCAGTACTCGAAGCCGAGGAGTAATCTGAATCCGGTCCGGGAGAAGGTTGTTGGGGAGTTTGTGTGTTATCGTGTCCAAGGTACCGAGCAGTTGTGTTCAAGCAACTTGTCTGTGCGTTTTCGCCCTCCTTAGCCTCGCGGCTACGTTGGGGTTGGTGATGTCCAGAGAATCGGACAACCGCTGAGATCGCCAGGTTGTCGGCTTTGGGTGGGACTAACTGGGTCGAAGCCAACAGTCCCAAGGTCTAAAATATCACGAATGGGTCAGGAGGTAAGGATGACTTGTTCAACGGCCACAGTGGAAGCCGCTCAGTCAAGTCAATCTTCAGATCGGAGAGCTGGCTAAAGCCCAATGGGGTAAGATGGAGGGCCTGTCGAAATTGGCGTCGGTGGTCGTTTCAACGCCTTCTCTATGTGATGGTAGGCTGCTTTGCTTTTATGGACTGAGAGAAAAAGCTTTCCAGGTGAGATGCAAGTTTCCGTAGGTGAAGTACTTGGGTGACCACAAAAGGCCGTAGAGGAGGTTGGAAAGCTGGCTGAGGGCTGGCAGTGCCGATGGTCAGGATTAAATGTGTTGATGGCGTGGGATGAGTGCAGGCCGAACGGGCCACTCATGACTCTGGATTGATTCAATCCCAGGCAATGAGTGACCGAGGAGAACCTCAGGCACTAGGTGATGGTTGGATCGACTCACTGCAAGTAGCCAACGCGTCCTTCTTCCTTGCTTAGAGCTAGTTCTCTTTCTTGCTGGTCTTCTTCAGGAACCCAGGAATGATCCAACAGTTTGACGGGTTGTATGTCTGTCTGCTTTAGAGAATCGTTGTAGAATGTGAGCCAAATGGTAGTTGTTGTTATTCGAAGTAGCGTGGTTCAGTCAGCCGTGGTCCTCGTGTGAAGTGAGTGTTATTTCGATAACCGGGCAGGGTGGGTTCGTGACCAAGGTCGTAATCGATTTAGATGAGCAAGTGTGATCGAAAGGAGTGGTTAGGATTCTCTTGCAAAGCTGCTATGATTCCAATGTAACCGCTGGCTCATTACACGACAGAGACTATTAGGCAAGGTCGGGAGGAGCCAGGTCTATTTGATTTTATTTTTTTCTGAATTGCCCTAGCGTAGTTCTCTTATGGCGGCATAGCCTTCTTATCGACCGAGCCCTGGCAACTTGCCGGGGAACCAACGAGCTTAAGGTGCATGGGGGTGTGGTGCTGGAGGAGAAGGGGGAGAAGAGGAGGATGAACGGCGACGACATGGATTTGGATACAAGTTGAAGCTGTTGGGTCGTGGACAGCAAATGTGCTGGCCGGGGTACATGGGATCAAGGGAAACACCAGGGGGGTAGACCCATTCTCGGCGCCAGAGGGTGCTCAGACATTGACAGGGCTTAGTCGACCGGTTGCTCTCGTTCGGGTCGAGAGGTAAGTAACGGTACAAGTCCCCTGCTGACATGACGGTACCGACTCTTTCGCTCTCTCTCTCTCTCTCTCTCTCTCTCTCTCTCTCTCTCTCTCTCTCTTTCTCTCTCTGTGTGTGTCTTGCTTGCATGCCTTGGCTTCGGCTGGGACCTTGGCCTAGGGAAGTTTGCCTCTTATTTTTGCTTCTTGTGACATGCCATGCAGAAATACTTTTTTCCAGGAGGGTTAGCCATGCTCGACGCACGGAGCCAAATGTTCTCGACTGAAGAGCCATTCCGGAACGGCAGCGAGAAACTGGGATGGTGCTTGCTTGTGCTGCCTCGGTCTTCCTAGCAATGACGGGCAGCAGTCAGTGATGCTTCGCAGCTAGCTAGCTTGAGCTAGCTGGGCGTACAAAACCACAATGCTCAGGCGGCGTCAAGCACAAAAAGAATGGCTGCTCGGCCGAGACGTAGCTGGCATCTTTTCATGAACCCAAGGTGCCGCGAGATGACGATGCGCTGCACAACCATTCTTGAGTCGATGGCAGCTCCGTGACCTGCAAGGATGGTGGCACATATGGCACTCCACGATGCTCATTGCGTATCTTGCTGTCCCCCTCTCGCACAGATGTGTTCGCATCCGAGGTGTGTGCAGGTAAGGCACTGGGGTCGGTTGTCAGCAGCAGTCAGATATGTCTGAAAGCAGACGAGGGATTGCTCTTACACCCCAGGAACGTCTTCCGCTGCATGATGCAAGAATCGGGGAGCTTCCCCTCTCATCACCGCCCCCTTCTGACCGACTTTGGCAGGCCGAGGGAGAAACGCGGGATGTTGGACCTTTCCCTCATCTCGGCCAGTGGAGCGTGGGAGGGAGAAAAATCCAAATCGGCCGGGATTTCGGGGGTGCCTGCGCGGGTCTCCGGGGGGAGGGGAAGAGTAGCGAGAGAAGTCGAACGGAGGAGTGAAGACGACGTCCTTGGACCAGGCTCATGGAAGCTACTTAGACGCTAGGTAACTAGCCGGCTAGCGTGGTTCGTCGAGCAAGGTGAGGTGGGCAACATGGCAAGGCACAGAGGAGAGGTGGACGGTAGCGTGCGGTGTCCCGTATCTGTTCAGAGAATAGTGTGGTGGTAGTGTCCAACGTCCAAGTCCATAGATCCCCGTCGAAGACTTTTCGTCCCAAAGTGCCCGCCTGCCCGGTACGGGTAGGATCCAGCGCGGTGTGGTCGACGCTGAGCAGATCGCCATTGTTGCTGCGCATCCATTCGGCTCGGCGTGAGTCTCTTGGGTAATACTCTGTATTTTGTGAATGGAGCGGAGTACAGAGCATCAAGGTAATGCGTAGTATCCGTAGGCAATGAAGCACCTGGTCGCATCCATATCTTGTAACGTCCCGGACGGTCCGTCGGTTCTGGTTCGCTTCAGTGCCTACACTAAATGCGCAGCCTACAGTCCTCCCGGGATCCAGGTAGTCAGCGATATCCGCACTCCGTGTGGCGGTTTAGCCTTTGGGAAAATCGATTTGCAAGCCTTTGGGCTAATATCGAATCGGCAAGCCGGATAGTGAAGAATGGGGGCCAGTTGGGTTAGCGAAACGGCGGGCCATATGTATGTCTATGATTGGAATCCATCTGATCAACGGTGACGTTTGGAATGCCCGTCTGGGGCGGAAATAAAGCTGCACTGATTCGCATGAGTGGCCCAGAAAGGAAGACACGGAAACTTTGAGCCACAACTCTGCGCCGTTATCTCGTGCAGCAGCGTTTCTGTGCTCCGTACACCTGACAAGAAGGAAAGCGAGCGCGTGATTACAGTGCAGGTAGCTAGGCTTGGGGTTCGAGATGAGATACCCAACCCAACAATGTTTGTCTTGTGTGTGCGTTCGAGGTGAAGTATGGAGTACCGGTAGAAGCTGGTCGGTCGATGACTCGTTGTGCAGGCTCTCCCACCGGCGGCATCCGATGGAACGCCTGTCGGGGACGGGTAGACGATACTCTAATGTTTGAAAGGATAGAAACGCGGTACATCGTACGGACTACGGAAGCCCACGGCGACGACGATGTTGAGTTGACTACCTTGGATCTTGAAGTCTCCAAGGAGGGATCCTGAGGTATCCTATCCTATCCGGACGTGACTAAGGCACGAACTCAGTACGTACTGCGTTTAATACTGAGTAATTACTGCCGTGACTTGGTTGGATGACATTAAACCGCAAGGGGAAAAGGACGACGAAACCAGAGCTGGTCAAGATTCAAGAAGAAACAATAGCGGAGCCGGACCAGGAGATGGGTAGCAGCCGGTACGGCAGATGCGGAATGATGTAAGTCGCGGCCCTCTTCTTTTGGGTGTACCGGTACATGGACCGTGGTTCCTGACCAAGTTCCTTCGCCTAGCGCACCCTGAGGCTTGCGCACCCATCGGCATGTTTCTGCGAGTTGCAGGGGAGACACGAACGGTGCCAGGCACTTGGAGTGCATTCCATGGAGATGGGCTGCCGCTGCTGTTGCTCAATTTACTCTAGTACTCTAGGTGGTCACGGTAGTGTACCTAGAGCTACTCTCATATGGTTCACCATGACCCAACTCACCTGAACGTCCTGAACAGAGTGGGCTGCTTTAGACCTCGTCGTCGAGACATGTCTCTACCTTATCCGTACAGATACTTCAAAGTATAGTAGTGTAAGTGTAGTGCCCACCGGCACTACGATGCTACTTCCGAGGCGAGATCCGGCTTGCTGCCGATGGCGACAGCCCTCCGGCGCTTTAGAGTTCGGTAGGCAGCGTATCGTTCGGAATCTGGGGCAAGCCGCAACGCGGGAAAGGGGAGGCTGGAGCTATGAAGAGAAGGGGGCGGAGAATGAATGCCTCCAACGTTGTGTATCTTGTATCTGGAACTTGTACCAGACTCTCAGCAGAGTCTAATTGCAAGGAGCTCAGCTGTGTGTCGTACACTACTTGCCTAGGTTCTCCGTAGACCTCCCATTCCACCCCTCTAAGCAAGAAAAAAAAAGAAGAAAAAAAAAAGACTTGATTGACCTCGCTCTCGATTGGATGTCATGCGTTCTTGGACCCTGACCTTCCGACGGCTTGGGCAGACAGGCGACATACTCCGCCCCTGGGCCGAGCTTTAGGAGGGGAGGGGACGACTCAGGTGTCGACGTGTGTTTGTGTTCTTTTTTTTTATTATCTTTTGTTTACGCAAGATGGATATGAGGAGCTGCTAGCCGTGGGTAAGGAAGTCTATTTGATGACGGAATTTCCTTGCGAGGGGACCACCAGGCAAACATGCAAGCATCACGGCGTAGGGCAAGCTGGGACGAAGGTGGTAATTGGAATTGGGGCGGGAGGTAAGGGAATAGACGACATTCATCGCTTCATTGTACCAAGCACGAATCGAATCAGCCTGGGTGATGATGAGATAGTCGAGACTTCAAGACTGAGCCCGAGCCTGAGCCTGAACCTGGCTATGTTGAGTGTTGACAGTCAGTTGAAGTGCCGCGCCGTTCCTTCACCGTCGACGCCAAAACTGGCTTTCCATCTTTTCATTTTGTTTTTTCCCTCCTGGTTCACTCCCTTTCGTTCTCTGTCAGTGTCTGGTCCCCCTCTCCCCCCCGCTCATCACATCACTCTCATCTCTTTCCCCCCCGCCCGCTTGTGTTGCAACTTGCTTCCCGGTCTCGACTCCTCTCATGTCTCCTCAAAAGGTATTCACATCCACTCTGAGTTTCTCCGAGTATCTGAGCCTTAGACAAAGAAGCTGCGAGTTTATCGTTTAATGTCTCAAGCGTCACTCATATTGTCTCGAAACGGCATCCCATGCTCACTCAACTGGCTGCCAGACCGTTACCCTAAGGACGCTACGAGTCTATGAGTCTGACTATCTGAGACGATTCTGAGTTGTCCAACATCACGTTTGGTAACCGTCCGTTGCACGACGGCCCAAGCCAGCCCAGTCATGCACTGCGTGATGTGACGCGATGCACAGCACAGCACAATAAAGCAAGCAAGCAAACCACATCGCACTTGCACTTGAACCATCTGGATATTGGATATTGAGCACCCATGGCGCATCCACATTCCTCCTTCTCCCCTGTTCCCTGACACATCACGCCTGCACAACCACAACCATCCTCATCCTGGGGCTTTCCTGGTCCGCGCTTGCTAAAGGTATCCTCAACGGAACCACTTCCTCTCCGTCGTCTTGTCTGCCTTCCCTCTCCACCGCTGGAGTAGGTTTTCCTGGGCCCTGGGCGGCTGGGCTGGCATGCCTACCGCTTATCCCTGCCCTCACAGCCCATGCCATCCCAGCTGCACCTTGGACACGTTTTTGGCTCCTCATTTTCTCTCGCGGAAGACGGAATCTAGCCCTGGCTTGCTGTAACGCTGTAACGTCACCGTCACCGTCTTTTCGAGAAGACGACAAGGACTCGTCAAAGTCGATCTCGTCTCATCCATTCCTCCCGCAGCCAGCGGACGGACACAATTCCCAGACGCCATGGATATTTCTTCTCTCCGGTCCACTGCGGCGATCTTGATCCGGAAGGCCACTCTGGCTCACGCTCATCGAATTCCGACCTGTCACATTCACATTCTAGGCCGGCTCTACGATTCGAGCACTATGGAAACATACGTGTACTCTGTACGGTGTATGTCTGTCTATGCAATACACACTCTGTCAAGGAGACCATGACCGCTCTGTTTCTCATGCACCGACAACTCCTCCATGACAGCACAGCAGTGCAGTTGGCGCTTGAACGGGTACAAACACGCTCCTGCCTCTGCTTCGCTCTCACTAATCATTCAACTCGTCGTCCTCTGCTGCCCGACATACCCACAACGTCTTATTCCCGCCATGTCTCATTGAAACATTGTGCGCAGACTGCAAGAAGGTGATCGATGTTCCGGCCCCAAGGTTAGTATGGATACAGAGTTCCACGGTCACTGGACTTTTGTCTGGACTCTGGACCTTCTCAAAGCAGGGACCTGAGTCGCACATCTCGTGTATCTGCCCCTCTGAGGTGAATCCCGCAAGCTCAAAAGACCCTCCCCAACTGACGACTGCATGCTAGCCCTACAGATACAGGCAAATCCATTCCACTGTCGTCCAAGGCGGTCAGTTGACGTGCAAAGTTTAACCCTCATAACATGCAAGCTAGCAGACCGATGGTCAGTTTAGATCCACACTAGAACGCATGCTGCATCCGCGTCGTGGAAACATATTGCGCGCATCACATCGAGAGTTCGGGGTGGGTTGGACGGATGGACTTCCTGGCAGGTTGACCGTGGCCATGGATGCGATGCTCACCACCATCTTCTGATCCCGCCCGCTGCATCTCAGGATCCTCGTCCAGGCCATGCCGTGCCATGCCTCCCGGCCTCCTGGAACACCATTCACGCGCGGCCACGGTCGCTGCTTCTGGACCGATGCCGGACAAAGAGCCTCGTTGGGACATGGCAGCGAACACACGCCGCAGGAGCGGGTCACCAGTAGAGATGGCCACATCTTGCGTGCATCTCAGCCCACCATGGACGGGATGCTTCCATTGGTAACGTATCACCGACGACCTCGTCATGGCCAAACAAATCTACAACAAGCCCGAAGGGTGGGCGCCCTGGATCCAACCTTCAACCAGCTAGCTGGCTTGTTCAGTTGTTCAATGTTGGAGAATGGACGAGACATGCCTAGTTCCAAATAGGCCACAATCATCGCTTCAGAGTCTGGTCTTGTCTCTCTTTCTCAGCATTCCATTGTGCATTCATTGTCAAACCTGCCTCTATCGTTTCGTTTGCTTCTTCGCTACAAAAGGTTTCCCCACACCACTATCGATTTCGATGTAATATTCCCTGCAAGCAACCCTACGAACTGAAATACCTAACCAACCATCCTGGACGGCAAGGTTCCCCCCTCGCATGCTCCCAAGATGGCCCCAGTGAGCCGACACCGACTATGACCGACCACCGGGCACAGGCTTCTGCTCCTGCTCCTGCTCCAGCTGCCCGTCACACGGTCACTTGCGGCGGCATGGGGAACGAAGGGACTAGGTAAGAAGATCATGGATGGGGAATTGAGATTCTGTGGGACGACCCTCCATCTCACCCTCCATTTGTTCTCTCTCCACACTCAATGGTCTCCCACCCACGCCTTTTCACGGTGTCTCATTTCTTCTTCGTATTATCGTTTAATTTTCTCTCTCTGGGGAGGAGCTCGTTCTTCACATCGGCTTTTCTTCTTTGGTTTCTTTGGTGCGGCCCACTACCAGGCCATCTCTTGGAAGGTGGGACAGCCAGGCCAACCATGCCTCCAATGTCGAGTTCATAGATGGTTCGATGGCATCGAGAAGCTCCAACAAAGTTCCGAAGCTGGACGGTGACTGTTATTGGTTGTCGTCCAGCGTTGGTAGGCGCAACTTCGCAAGTCATGATATCACACTGGCGGCTGCCAACCCTACCAACGCGACAGGTGATATCAGATCCTTGGCCCCCAAGCGACGCACAGCACCACCCGCGGGACGTGTCGTTGTACGTACATGCACCATGGCCACCTGCATGAGCTGTATGCAAGGCCCCAGAAGGAAGGAAGTGCCATCTGCGGCCCAATATGCGGCCCCTGACACCTCTGTCTATCACCTACGGTAAGGTGTTCAGGGTCAAGCCGAGTACAGAGGTACTTTGGCCTCGTTCCAGACGAGACGACACGAGACGAGACGACACGAGACGACACTCACACTACGGATATGCTACGAATACCTGACCTACGAATACCTCACAGGTTTAGACACACCAAGATAGACCAGCAGACCCAACGTAGCTGACGAGCAGGAGTCCCGCCAGCCCGCGAGAATAGTACCATGGTGCTTGGTGCGAATCATCGCGAGCCGGTTGCGTCCCGCCGCCAGTAAACTCACTAACCCGCCTCACCAAATGAGTCGTTCCAAACGAGTGGATAGCCGCAATTATACCACTGACTTAGCCTTTCCGGGATATTTCGCGCTTCCGCGAAAAAGAACGAAGCTCTACGCATGGAGTACTGGTACGCAATCCGGCATGTTCATTCGGCTCTGCCCTGTCTAATCCTAGCTTCTGGAATCTGGCACGCGATGCACCCCTACCAGTCTACCTGTACCTAGTCGTGGAACACGGGTGTGTGTGCGCGCGCGCAAGATCACCTCGTCAGACAAAACCACGTTCACGAGGGACCTGACCCTGGGCTTATGCAGACTGAGTGTACGGAGTACAGATACTTGGTTCGAGTTGCAGAAGTTGCAGAACACGTCCGATGAACGGGGGTTATTGCGACAACGAGACCAGCGCAAGCCTGTTTCCGGTCTTACCGCGAGCTACGCGCGCCTATCTTACCGCGAAGCTCCCCGAGCTTTCCGTGATGAGAGTGATGACACCGCATCTCCAGAGCCAACCATGAGATGCGTAATGCGTCACACCAAACATACGTCGGTGATTTGGTGACAGCGGCTTTTGTGACCGCAGTGGAATCATGTATGAGAGGCAGTGCAGGACGGATACAGCGCAAGCGCACATCAAGGCTAAAGAGAAACCCTGCCCCGTCTCGCCGCAAGATTGGCTTCACACACCGTTGCGAGGCTCAAATTTGATCAACTTCCGAAATGTCACGTCTCGCGACCGCGGACAAGGATATCCCTTCAACGAGCTCTCAGCCCACAGAGTGCCAAAGCCAAGGGAAGCAACGTCGGGACTGGAATAGCGTGCCTCCTTGATTCGAGACGAACGGGCAACGCTCATCTCGTCGGACCTTGTTCGCGACATTCACAGGGAGTATGGACTCGAGCGGATGTAACGTCAGACTGGGAACATGGCCATGCTATTTGGAGGCATTCCCCTGGTTTTCAAGCTTTCATTTACAATCGTCGCTTCCGAAGCCGATGCGAAACAAGCACCGTACTGGGTAGGTTGCGGCATAATTGTAGACTCTGGGCGAAAAAGAGGGGATAGAGTCTATTGTTGTGCCCTTGATATGATGGCATCAGACAGCACGCCTTTACGGATACTACTAATGTACATCACCGATCAAAAACTCCGTTATTCGGAGTGGAGGGGCTGATGGCGATGTGCTCGACAGTAATAAGGAAGTCGATTCAATTGGTACCAACACAGCTGCCCCCCCCCCCCCCCCCCCTTAGTAAAGCTCAAAGTTTATCAGGACCCGTCTCTGCCAACCAACCTCTTTGGAGTAGCGAAGACAGAAAAGTTTGGCGGTCTTTGACGGCGCTACGTTTCGTTCCGTGTTAGTCGCTACAAAGTTTCGACCATTTCGGGGTCCTGGGCTAAAAGAGCCCAAGAGAGAGAGGGGGGGGGGGGGTCCGGCGAATGTGGGAGACGCAATAATATCCATCACGCGCCCAAATTTAACATTGCGTCGTGGGAAGTTGCGAGATGAACCCCCACCGAAGGGCCGAAGGGCCGAAGCTCACGGTTGATAGTGATGAGACAAGTGAGATATCTGCAACGACGACGGGAATGGGAGCATCGTTAATTGCGATGATCAACCTGTCGTCAACGCCTGAACACAGGCCAGAGCGCGCGTAAGGTGGTTAATTGCTCTGGTTGCTGTGCAGATATTACACTGGCATGCTGTTGGTAGCCGAAAGCTGCATTCCGCCGCCAGAAGCATACCGTATACGACGACGGTAAGATTTCGTTGGACATCGACAGGTCACATCTAATAGCACGCAGCGCGCGCTCGAAAGAGGAGGATTGAAGGCCTGTTCCCTGCCCGTCTTCACTGTCCGGCCCGTCCCTAGCAATTTGGTTTTCCAAACTAGTCAGCAACACCGCACATCCAATAAAGCTGAACTGGCGCGGTATCGTTAGTGCTGTGACGACTACTCCTCCTCTTTTTTCCCCCTTGAATCCTGGCAGACGCACGACGAAAGAAGGAAGAAGAACTTTGAAAGCTGATACTTTCTTGGGGTGCGCTGACGATCGGTGCTGCCATCGTGTGGATGTGTTGACCCGGCGGCCCAAAGACGATCGATGCCGTCTCAAATCTCGCCAACTGGCAAATGAGTTGAGGGGACAGTGACACACACACACATATCCAATCCTCTTTCTCTTCAGTCATTATTTCACCCACCCCCTTCCAAACAAGGGGGCCAAAAAAGAGAGACTGCTACCCTGACGAAGAAAGTTAGGTATGTGATGGGAAAACGGACGGGCCACGCAAGGCAGGGCGGGTAGGCACGGCGAGAAGTAAGGTAAGGTAGGGGGAGGGGGAAGCGGAAAGCGGATAATACGTGATGTGAGAATGGCATGCGTCTTGCAGCTGCAACTAATAAACGGTTGCTTCACACGGGCCGCGGTTCATGCGCCCAGCCTCTCTCTCAGTCTCGACGACTTCCATTACTCCCTCCGTACTCGGTAACCCTCTGCCCGGCTGGCTGGCTGGCTGGCTGGCTTTGCTGGACAGACCAGCCTCGGAGACGGGAAGTCGTCGATAGGTATGTGCAGACGCGCGTGATGATCAACGAACGGCCTTTTTGGCCAGCGGGTGACCCGTGTGCCTCTCGTGCAGCTGCTGCTCGTTATGCAGCCAGCCGTTTGGGGTGAGAAAAGAGGCAAAGGTGCTTGGGGTGTGAAAGCCTGTTGGGGTCACTGAGTGATTCCTGAGGCTGGCTGGGATGGAGTGATACGCGCCTAATAAGAGCTTCACCATTTCCATGAACATTGGCAAACTCCAACGCCAACGCCAACGCCAACGCCAACGCCAACGTCACTTGTCACTGGTGAAGCTTGCGACAGGGCGACGGAGCTACTAACCGATACGACTCTGGAGGTATCCGGAACGAGGAACACCCCCTCCCTTCCCGCACGTTGTTCATCACTCCCGTCCTCATAAAACCAGGGCGCCATTCACTCCCAGTCTCCGACCCCAAGGTCAGGCGATTGTATGGCTACCTAGGTAGGTATCCTGAGAACGAGAACAAGACGTGCAGTTATTGGATACAGATACATGGCATCGACGTTTCTTTTTTTTTTTTTTTTTTCGTTGCTCCCGCCTGGCCCGCATCGGCACCCGAACGACCAGCTGCACGATTCATGGGAGCGCGAAATCCCAAGAACCGTGAACGAGCCTCGTTGCAACCCCCCTCCGTTCGGGAAATTTGCAAGAAAGAGACGCTGCTAACTCCCCGGGTTGTGGGCGATCATTGATGTCTGATCACCCCCCTAAAGTCCCCTTGATGATGGAACATTTCGATCGGGGGGGGGGGCCGCACTGCATAGCATACTTACATGTACGGAAACCCGTAGCCCATGGATGATGGGAAAACAGCTGGCTGGACTGGCCCATGAACTCTGCTCACTCACCTCAAGGCTCAAGTTCCCTTCCTCGGCTCTGCCCTCCTGGGTGCGGTACCACAATACCTGAAGAATATCCATCCATTCCCCTCCCAGTCTTCGTATTCAAATACTTCTGGAGCTGGCGGCCCAACTTTTTTTTCTCCTCGCGTTGGTAATCTTCCATTGATCCTTCAATCTTCGATGAGCGAGCGCGTTCGCTTGACAGATACAAGCCTGCTTTGACCCCCTCTGGGGGGGGGGGAGGTTCGCAACGGAGCCAAGGTGAGGTTAGAGTCTCGAAGCCAAGCCAAGCCCGAGGAGGGTTAAAAAGAAGAAGGAGAAACATTACGAGCAGGTCGGTTTCGGCACGTGAAATGAATAGCTTGTTTGCAAAACATTTTGGGACCAACGTTCGGATGAAGAAAAAAAAAAAAGGGCGAGAGACAAGTGACGAAACACCGTTGGGGGAACGGCCAGACAGGCGGCCCTCGGCTCACTCACTCACTCACTCACGGGCACACAGCTCACTCACTTGCACAAAGGTCTCACTCACTCACTCACTCACTCAACTTTCGGCCGCAGCGGGCCACCAGGGCCACGGGCGCGCGGACGATCTGGCTCATCTCACTCACCACAAGTTTGTTTCCGCGGCACCGCCGTCCCGGAACATGCATCCAATGCTTCCCCGGGCCCCCGGAACTGGGTTGTCGGGGGCTTGTTAAGCAAACATTTGTTTAATCAACAGCAACCCTTTAGCCTTGCCAATCCAAACTGGTCACAACTCTGTTGGTGCAGGGGGTTTCTCTTTTGCTAATGAATGCCTGACATGCAGCCATGGCGACTGGTGGTTTACCATCAACTACAGACGTGCGAAGTCACCAAGTCACAAAGACATGGTACAAAGTTTCGCAACCAACGAGATCTTCCGTGGGCGGCAACGATCATCCACCCGGACGCGAACAAACTACGGATAACAGGGTTGACAAGCGTCGCTCCTTGGCTTTTTGTTTGTTTTCTGCCCACTTTGCCATGATGAGTTGCATCAGGAGATTTTCTGCTGAGATCTGCCGGTCAAATTTTCTTTGTAGTTTAATTGAAACATTTCTTAATTAACCCTTGTCGTTCTTGCGTCTTATTTGTTTTGGCTTCTTTTCTCTCTACTCGGCAAATTTCCTGAGCTAATAGGCTTCCATTTTACTTCAACGCGGGAGATTTCGTCTCCATTATCAGTTGCTGGATTTGGAGGCCTCGCTTTGGGAAAAATTGGTCGACCTGTGTGATTTTCCTTTCCTTCAACTCAAGTGTGTGCGTGTGTTACGTGTGTGTAACCTGTTCAATCTTGTGTTCGTTCTACAAGACACAAAGTTGCGGGATTGAGGCTAAGCGGCCCGTCTTCCGCGTATTTACTCGACGATTCGGGAAATACGAATGCGGTGGCTCCGTGGTTCTTCTCGGGGCGAGCAAGATGCTTCATCCTGGGAGAAAAGGCCAGATAATAAATTCCAAGCGGAATGTCGGGATATCATCAGCAAAGTTGCCATGATAAAAAGCTGGCTCTCGCAGCGTCGGGAACGAACGACTCCGCTGACGCTACCGTGACGTCTGCATCTCTTACCTCTCAAAAAGGCGCTTTCTTCTCATCCGGGCGGAGCGTCTGCGGAGTGACGAGCCGAACCGAGAAAAGAAAAAAACGTGGTGCTATCGGGTTTCCTTCGGGTAATTGTTGAGCGAAACGACTCATTTTCGCAGACAGCATTCCCGGGTTTACTGTCTGTACAAGGATATAGCTAAAAATAAAATATAAAATAAAAACCTCCTCATCGCGAAACCCCTCACTCTCGAGTCTCCAGTACTATTAAGTATAGGACAGAGTGACAATCCGAACCAAAACCAAGTGTCTCCCTGAATCGAGCTTTCCAGGCGATATTGTACAACCGTTCACTCTGTACGCCTCTGTACAACGAAACAAAAATGGCGTCTCTTCAGACTTGGACGGTCGACAAGCCGTATCTCAACATCCACTGCGGCCTAGGCGAGGGACCATACCACGAAAAGGCGACAAACCTCCTGCGCTTCGTCGACATCAAGAAGAAGAGGGTCCACTTTGTCAACGTCGAGCAAGGGCCCGAGACCCTGCGGACGGTGCAGCTCGACGTGCCCGTCGGCGTGACGGCCGACATCGAAGGGGTCAACCCGGCCGACAAGATCCTGGTCGGCCTCAAGTACGGCATCGCCGTGCTCGACGTCCGCTCGGGCACGTACGAGTACGTCGCCAAGCTGCACGACCGGGACAATGAGAGGCTGCGGTCCAACGACGGCGCCGTCGACCCGAATGGTCGGTTTTGGCTTGGTACCATGACGGATTTCGGACTGGGTGACTTCAAGGTTGAAGGTATGTGCCAGTCGTTCATGATCCTTGTCATTCAACTCACGACACCGCATCTTTCACTCACGAGCCCCGTCGTCATGAGAACAAAACCTCTCACCGCATCACCTTACATTACACAACCAACATGCATCAGAAAACCTTGTAGAAAACATGAGCTCATTCATCGGGGTCACCGACCCCCTCTCAGGCGCACTGCACCGCTTCGACGGAAAGTCGGGCAACGAGCAAGTCCTACAGGACATCCTGATCCCTAACTCGGTGGGATGGTCCCCGGACAACAAGACAATGTACTTTACGCACTCCACCGACCGTAAAGTCTACGCATGGGACTACTCCCCCGCCGACGGCGCCGCCGCGCTCTCCAACAAGCGCGTCTTCTACACCCACGACGGCAAGGGCGAGCCCGACGGCTTCCGCGTCGACACGGAGGGCAACCTGTGGCACGCCGTCTACGGCGAGGGTCGCGTGCTCAAGATCTCGCCCCGGGGAGAGCTCCTCGGCGAGGTGCGCGTGCCGACGCTGGCGACGAGCTGCGTGCAGTTCGTCGGGACCGAGCTCTTCATCACGACGGCGCAGCTGAACGAGAGCGAGGGGACCGAAGAGCAGAGGGAGCTTGGGGGCGCGTTGTTCC